ATTTTTTTGTGACCTTAACAAAATAATAAATAATTATAACTACACTAATTTCTCTACTAGAATCTTTGGTTTAAAACGAATAAACATATGAAAAAATACCGTGTTGTATAATTTAAAATGAAAAAACATATAAAAAAATTTGGTGTTGTATAGTCAATAATCTTATGTACTCAAAGAAGATGTATCAAATCCGAGAATTCAAAACCTTCTTAAACAAAGAGATCCAGCAATTAAATTTGTCCGATGTTTTACATTCCTGAAAAAGGAGAAATAACGGCAGCTGGGTTGAGGATACACTACGACTCAGATGATTTAAGTGATTTTCTATATACATTAGAGAACACCGGTTGGGTTCTCTGAATCACTCTGCTATTCACTGTCTTTATGTTCAGCAAAATATCTCCGACGATCCATGGAAAGCTCAGGCAATTCATACCTTCTCGGCAGTAGCTTGGGTGGTAAGTCACATGATACCATGCAGAGGCCAGTCTCTGATTTTCATTAACCTTGCAGCTACTCTCAAACCAACCTTTAGCTTCTTTCTGAAGGTTCTTAAGGGACACCAAGATTCGGTCCTTCATGTCTCCATACCTCCGGTTATCCCGCTGCAAGTAGGCTGCTTTCTTGTGCAGATTGCCCGTCAGTATCTCTTCCTCACTCTCTGCCCCATAATACTTCATCAATGTGCTAATTCGCTCTTCGTACATGTTCCTGTGAGTCTCTGCAGTTGAAAGGAAGGCCTCAAAACCATTCACTTCAAGGTGAGGATCATAAGCTGCTTCAGCTACCTTCTCTGACCAAACAAGCTTTGAACTTTCTTGCACGATTGAGTCAAGGGTGGCACGGTAGAGTTTTCCCAACACTCCTTGAGAGATGTACGTGGCCTTCTCTCCCCTCTCCATGAAGTCAGGAAATTCCCTTGGTTTCAGGGCTCGAGGCATCTCAGCTGGTGCTCCTGTCTTTGCAAAGTCAACAGCCATAGAGTGAAGAGTTGCCAACTCGAGACATTTTCTACTCAGGGCTTTATTTGGTTCACTGTCAGCATGGACTAAGTGTGCAGTAGAGATGGCACCCAAAGTATCATTGATCATGTAATCAACGAAGAATTTTTGAATTTCCTATATATATCAGCAGAACAGAAAATAAGGAAAATAGATTCCATATCATACAATTCCCCTTCACCCAACCCCTTCCATTCAAACTCATCATCAGATTACCTCCAAGGTCACATCATGATCCATTATACGAGAACTTCGTGCAATGTAGTCCATTGGGGGCTCAGTTTGAGATGGGATGATATCTTCATTCCAGCTTATAAAAAACTGGTCTCCATCAAGATCACCACCAGAGCATTCATTTGGATGAGGCCTGCAGACCAAAAGTCAGTCATATCCATGTGCATGCTTAAGGAAGCACTGGAAACATAAGAATTGTTCTTGCTTTGAAAGGTGAGAACTGGAAAATATCCACTGAAATGTAACCTGATTCCAGTGACTCTTACCTGCCTAAGCACTACATGTTTCCGTGACCACTAAAACAACTCAGTGAAATTGAAAGAGGACATTTCATAATACAATTAAATCATGGTCATGAATGATAGGAGTATGGGCAAGAACCGTCCATACCTCATTCCTTTTTGGGGGAAGACAATGCAATCAGTCATACCCTTCTCTTCTAGTTCCACTTCATAAACAGCCTCAAGGACTCTAACATCGCCGGGGTGAAGACAAGGGTTTTTGGTAACGACCACTTTCCCTATAACAATAGACGTTTTCTCATCCACCTTATGGAAGAAAGTCTGATCTGCACATTCTAGCTCTGCTTTTGTCATGCTTATACGCACAAAAACTTGACCATATTCTAACACACCAGTTTCATCCAAGCAACCAATTAGGATCCTTCCCTTGGGAACAAATATCCGACACCTGCTTTTTAAGTCAGATAGCAGGATCCTATGATGTGCTTGAAGCATCATTGATAGATAAGGTTCTGAATTTGGCTCATAACCTTGAAGCAACATCTTCACCAAAGTATTTTTAGAATTATTTCCACCTATATTCTGCAGGACATCTAAAGCTGCCTCCCTATTGGTCAGCATTTTGCCCAGCAGATGCAGTTGTTCTTGTTGCATTGCCTCAAATGCTTCATCCTTAACTCCCAAGGTGGACAAGAGGGTAACAATTTCTCGATTCAAAAAGCATGGCATGGACTCACTCCACTTAGTGATATTGAGCTTCCTGACTTCTGAGTCAAATTTAAGCATACTCTTACGCAGAGACATTTTCCGGAATGAGTTACGATCAACTGCAACAACACCTTTATAGCCACCAAATCTTATTTGAAATGCTGAAGGAGTATGATTCAATCCACACTTCTGAGCAACCTGCCTTGCAAAAGGTAGAGAAATTTTCCCAATACCATCAGAGAAGCAATAATGAATACCTTCAGTAGTAACTTCAATATCAGTAATGGTCTCTACATCCTGAGAAGGGACATCAAAAGTAGGCAAAGAAGAACTAAACAACTGACCCATCCTTGCTGCACACTTGGACACACTCCTAATCTTGTTGAAGCATCCCATCCATTCTCTGATACCTTCTGCTGTAACATTCTCATTTGAAGCAAACATCCAGACAGCATTTGAACGCAATTGACTGGCAGAAAATGCCAGAAACTCAAATCTTTTAGACCCAATAACAATCCCATCTCGGAGAACAGACAATATCCGGTGATATATCTTGGTTCTAAAAGGTTTGGCAAATATACCTTGCTGAATAGAAGTTGAAATGGAGTTTACAGGAAGCTTACTCCAATCTTCCTCAACAAAAGTAACTCTCATAAAATCCGAAGCATATTCTGCAAATTGCTTTACGACATAATTAGAGGTTTCAAGTTCAGGACCCAGGCAATAGATTTTTGATGGTGTAACTAGGGCTCTGTGACAACTCATTACATTATGATCTGTCAACCGTTTGTATGCTGATATGGGAAGACTTTTATTGCTATTCTGGTAGGCATTTAATTGAGTCTTCACAAATGACACAGGATTGTAACAAGCAGAATTTAGCTTGTGCAACTTCTGTAGGATCATTAGAGCAGTGTCCATGCTCAAATCACCAAGGATCTTAATCAGCTCTGTGTCTACTGCAGCAAGACTAATTTTCTGGGTGTGAACAAGGGAATTAAGCTGGAAAAGGATCTCATATGCCAATTTTGAATCTGATGGGCATTTTACTAGCGGAACAATTTCAGATGAAGTA